GAGTTCATTAGATGTGTGACCTTGAACCCCAATAGGTTGCAGCCCCTGCACAGGGGCTGGGAAAATATCCAGTGCCTGTAACAGCTTCATACTGCATTTTGGTTTTGCTTTGTTTGTGGCTTTGGATTGCTTCCTATCTCTACATTACTGGACTTAAAACCTGGCACCCCAAGCACACTAGGCAAGGGCTCTACCACTGAGCCGTGTCCCCAGCCCCAATAGGAAGATTTTGTTTGACACAGGATCTCACTATGTAGCCCTGGCTGTTCTGGAACTCACTCTGTAGACCAGGCTGACCTTGAACTCACAGAGATCTATTGACTCTTCCTTGAGAATGCTGGGATTAAAGGCATGTAAGTTTTAAAGCAGGCTATGCACAAAGTTGTGAAGACACTAATCTCCATTCTAGAATCCACGGCCTATTTTTGTTTAATCTAGTCAAAGAAATAACTGTCTACAACAAGGGATCTTCGCACGAGTGTCCTGACCACCCACCTTTCCACCCACATTTACCCCCCCAAAGGCTCACACTCCAGTAGGACAGTGGAGGTGACTTTCTTTTGCATTCTTCAGACTGTAACTGGCCTCAGGCAGAGTACAGGGCTTGAACCTAGCAAGTAGTAACCCGTTCAGCTCTAGCACACCCATTACCTGGTAGTGGCTCCACTTCCAGCATAGGCCATTCTGAAATGGAACCGCAAAGCCGCTGTAGTTCCAGACAAAGGCTGTGAGGGGCTCACCTACCTTGGGACTTAAAGTGTAACCTGTCAGTGTCCCATCTACAGTCCTGGTCTTTCTGGCTGTAAATGCCTGCATTGGGGTTCCCTCACCCCGATTTCTCCCCTCTAATAGCCACACCTGATCTCATTCATCGACAGAAGGGGAAGCGCACACTTCTGCTGTCCTTGAACGCGCTCCTCAGTCACTCAGAAATGCACTTCAGGTTGCTGCTGTCACTCGCTCAGAACCCTGGCATCGCCTTTGCTGTGTCTTGGTCTCAGAGGCACCTGAACCCAAACCAAGCTTCCTCAAGTTGCAAGTGACAGGGCTGGACCACCTACCCAGTCCCCAACTCTCCCTCCCATGCCTGCTCCTGAAGAACTAGGCTTCTCCGTGCAACCCACATTCCTGAGGGGACACTCAGGTCTTGTGCCACTCAGATGTGAGAGGGCAGTCACCTTGACAAAGCTGCGGCCATCTTGAGTTGTGGCCTCCTGGCTGTTTTGCCTGCAGTATCCCAGCAAACTGTATGTAGATAGGAACCATCGGTATTGTACATGGAGTTTTCTACCTAGTCCCAGACTCTTCAATGGTGTCTTAAGACAAGTCAGGTGCAGTGAAGCCTGGATGGTCACTTTTGTCCTAGGCCATAAATATGCCTCTCTTCCTATACTGGCTGGTTTGTGTGTCAACTTGACATAAGCTAGAGTCACCAGAGAGGAAGGAGCCTCAGGAAATGCCCCCTTGAGACCCAGCTGTAAGGCATCTCCTCAATTAGTGGTGAACTTGGTGGGCGGTGCCCTCCCTGGGCTTACTTTGCTTTCAGTTGCTGTGAGAGATATCATGACCGAAAGCAGAAAGGGTTTTTTCTTTCTGTTACGTTACAGCTTACGTTACATCCAAAGAGAGGTCAGGACAAGAGCTCGAGGCAGGAACTGAAGCAGAGGCCATGGAGGAGTGCTGATTACTGGCTGGCTTGCTTTCCTTTATTTATTAATTACTTTTGCTTTCTTATGCAACCCAGGACCACCTGCCCAGCAGAGGCGATGCCCACAGTGGGCTGGGCCCGCTCACACAGATCATTAATCAAGAGAATGTCCCCACAGATATGCCCCACGGATCTCTGTGCACTGCTTGTCAGTTGATAGCCATGGGTGAATCCTGTTCTCTAGTCCTGGCTTACAGCCCCGGCCTTGCCCACCTGACATCAACATCTAGTACGAGGAAAGCACGGACTCTTACACCTGGGGTTTCTCCACTGTGCTGTAAGTCTGTATAGAAGGCTGCTCCTTCCTTGCAATAAAAAGACGCACATGCATTTTCATAGCACAAATGTCTGGACGTCTTTTTAGTTATAACTCCAGGCTTTCTCCCGATACATTGGATTTGCTCGTGGCACAGGCACCACACCCACAGGCCATCTAACGGAGGCTCCTTCTCAGTCTAGGCTCTGACACCCCAGTGTCAAACTGATCCCAAAAGAAAACAAACGAACAAACAACCCTAACCAATGCCCTTAGCCATAGAACTTAGGAAGGCATGAGTCAGTCTCGGAATTCATTTTTCAGTTGGTTACCAAAACAAGCAAAAATCTAAGTAAATGGTTCCTGAACTTTCTTTTTTTCTTTTTTCTTTTTGGTTTTTTGAGACAGGGTTTCTCTGTATTGTTTTGGAGACTATCCTGGAACTAGCTCTGTATACCAGGCTGGCCTCGAACTCACAGAGATCCGCCTGCCTCTGCCTCCCAAGTGCTGGGAGTAAAGGCGTGCGCCACCAACGCCCGGCGGTTCCTGAACTTTCTATGAGCTCCAAGCACCTACGTTTTTCAAAGCGATCCCCGTAACTGAGAAGGCACCTGTCCTCTGCTTCCAGCAGGAATCTCCCCTGAGCAACAGCCAACACAGCAGAGCTTGGAAGGTGAGAGGTTACTGCTAGAGTAGATTCAGTTTAATCTCTACTCCAACCCCAAGCTGACCCTCCTACTTTCTCATCTGTTACGTTGTTGTGCTGTCTCTTCAGTCACTCAACTAAAAACGCCAGGGGCCTCTCCAGCTTGTCCCCTCCGTTATCATCATGTCCTTGAAATGCCCCAGCCTCCCCTCATTGTTGGCATCATTTATTTGGGTGACTGAAGTTCCTCCCCTACCTAGTCCTGTCTCCATGCTCCCATGCCATTAGTTTCCCCACCACCACCCCACCCAGACAGGGTTTCATTCTGTGTAGCCCTGGCTGTCCTGGAACTCACTCTGTAGACCAGGCTGGCCTCGAACTCACAGAGATCTGCCTGCCTCTGCCTCCCGAGTGCTGGGGTAAAAGGCATGCGCCACCACCGCCCGGCTCCATTAGCTTTCTTAAACCCAGGTCTAAGCAGGCCACGCACCACCTGCCAGGACCCACACCTGCCTCCCTGGACAGCTTTCCTGGCCACTGATGTCCCACGGTGCTTCTACTCTTGCTAAGAGCAGCATGGGACAGTGTTGATGCGGCCCCACCTCCAGCTCCTTCAGCCTCGGCACTGCCATTCTGGCCATTCGTGCTCTCCACAGCAGCAGCCTTCCTTGGCCACCAAGGCCATCACCTGTGGTCAGGCTATCCCTCAGCAGCCCCCAGGCACAGTTCTCTCTCTTGTCTCTCTTGTGGTAATCCTTGTACTTTCCCATCTGCCTGCCTCTCATGTCCCCACTCCTAGAGGACCTTTTGCTCTCCCTCCCCTTCTCCCCCCTCCCCCAGTAAACCTCTTGCACTAACTCTGTTGCAGATGGCGTATTTGCTTAGTGGCATACCTTGGCAGGGCCCGCCCAAAGGTCCTCACTTTGCCTTTTAAAAATAATCATCACGCTGGGCGGTGGTGGCGCACACCTTTAATCCCAGCACTCGTGAGGCAGAGGCAGGTGGATCTTTGTGAGTTCGAGGCCGAGCTGGACCGATAGCCTCCAAAACAATACAGAGAAACCCTGTCTCATAAAAAAACCAAAAAAATAAATAAAAAAAAAAAGAAATGCAAGTTTCGAAGAATGGGTAAGGAAAATGTGGTACATTTACACAATGGAGTACTACTCAGTGGTAAAAAAAAAATTACATCTTGAAATTTGCAGGCGAATGGACAGAACTAGAAAAAGCCATCCTGAGTGAGGTAACCCAGATCCAGGAAGTCAAATATAAGATGTACTCACTCATAAGTGGACATTAGACATAAAGTAAAGGACAACCAGCCTACAGGCCGCAACCCCAGAGAACCCAGATAACAAAGGACTGTGAGAAAGACAAGCATGGATCTGATTAGGAAAAGGAAAAAGACAAGGTGTCCTGAGTAAATTGGGAGCATGGGGGCCAGAGGAGAGGGTGGAAGGGGAGTGGGGAAAATGTATAGCTCAATAAAAATACATTTAAAAAAAGAAAAAGAAATGCAAGTTTGCTGGGAATAGTGACACAAACCTTTAAGCACAGCTCTCAGGAGACAGAGGCAGGAGGATCTAGAGGCCAGCCTGGTCTGCAGAGGTGTGGGGAGGGAGGGACCGAGAGAGTCTAAGAATTTAAATTGAAGGTGTTAAGACAAAGACATCAGAGAGCTGCGGGCTCTGAATCCGGCGGATCAGACGTTCACTCCAATACCCTGTGCATCTGGACATTAGAATTTCTCTACAGTAAGGAAGGCATTTTCGTAAAGGTGATTTGAGTTGGTTGGTCCCATTGTCTCACCTCCTAGGTGAGGGATCAGTGGGAGGGTGAGCTAATGACCCCAGGTGACTTTGTCCAGCCCCATAGCTCTGTGAGTCTGTTGCTGGGCGTTCACGGGAAATTGCTCTTGGCTTCTATTTTCCTGCTGGTCAGGAGAGGTTTGTTGACACCTACTGAAGACGAGGGCTAGTGAACACAGGCTCCTGGCCAGCGATGGTGACCAGAAAGGAGCACCAGCAACTCCCTGTTTCAGAATTTGCAGCCTGCCAAGAAAGCCGTCTTCAACTTTGCAGGGGAGCTCTGGTGCAAGTCCATCCACTGGGCTCCTCGAGGGTGTGGGGCAGCCTGTGCTCACTGCGAGCACAAACTCCTGCTGGCCTCGTGAATTCTGAGCTTTCCATCCGTCTCCCAGAAGCGAACCCACAATTCTAGTAATGAATGGTGGCAGCCAGATGCTTCCTCCACTCCTTCTGCTTACCCTCAGGGAAGCCCTGGCACCTCCGAGAACCCGAAGGGCTACGCTTCCCTGTCCCCAGCCCCGAGTCGGGCGCTGAAGATTCCAGCGAGAACACAGCGGGTTCCGGCACGCTGCTCGCCGCTCGCCGCTCGCACACCTGCTTTTCCACTGTCAAGCGATGCCGCTGGCATTGGGAACGTCATCAGTACTCCAGCCTCCAGAAGAGAAAGCAAACAAACTGACAGTAGCCACCAGCACCACCAAATCTTGGGGTCCCAGGGCCCTCGAAGGGGCGTGGCCCCGGAGCCCAGGCGTGGGAGCCAGACTGCTGCTCGCAGAAGTGCTGCCTGTCGCCAAGGTCCGGGCGGGTTCAGGTCAAGCCCCTGAGGGGCGGGGCGGACAGGGCAGTGCTTTAAGAGGCCAGGCCCGGGGACGCCTGGACGACCCGCACCAATGGAGACCGCTAGGGACTACGCGGGAGCGCTCATCAGGCGAGTGCCGCCCTTACCCCCCTGCGCCCTGCCCTGGGTACCCCGTTTGTCTCCATTCCCTCTGCTCCCTGGGTCCTCCTGCGTCCCAAGTCACTCTCTCCCCGTGCGTTCTTTTTAACCTCCTTCGCACACCCCATCCGTCCCTGGTCTCCGCTGCTCCCTCGTCTGTGGTCCCCCTACAAGTCCCGACCGCACTACCGCAGGGCCTGTCCCCACCCTCCCCAGCCAGCACTTCTCGCTTAGCAGCCCCGAGGTTCCTCCCGCAGAGGGTCGCAGGTGCCCGGTGGGGCGCTCCCGAGGTGCATGGGGCATGGGAGTCCGCGAAACAAGTGACAGTGGTGAACGCGGGGGCGGGGGGGGGGGTGGCCGCATCTTTTGTAGCTCCTACAGACTACAGCTACAAACCCTGGCAATGTGTCTATGCTAGACAGGGCTTCTCCTGGCCCTTGGGCTGAGAACCAAGGGGGAGTGGGGTGAGGGGAGAATCCCTGTTTAGCTACTTTGGGTAAGTGCGGACTCTGCTTACCCAGGAGAGGCAGGGCTCACCCAGGTTTGCGAGGGCAGTTTTGGCTCCCAGCCAGCCCCACACCTAGGCCTTGCTCAAGTCACTGGCATCACTCCCCTTCGGTTTATCTCCACATGCTGATAGAACATCTGAGTGTCTGTAAGAAAGAGACAGCGACCCAGAGAGACACAGAGACAGAGATGTGGAGATAGAGACGGGGAAGGAGAGATAGTGAGGATGAGAGAAATAGAGATAGAGAATAACACACGGGGAGAAGGAACTAGAAACATAGAGACAGAAAAAAAAAAAAGAAGACTGGCAGACACACAGGGTCTCCTTTTATGGCCCAGCTTAGAACTAGCTATATAGTCCAGGCTGGTCTCGAACTCCTCCTACCTCTGGTTCTCTAGTCTAAATGACTGATGTTCAGCGTCAAGGCCAGTTGCATGGCAGTGAATCTACAGAGCAGGTTAAACCAATTTTGACTCTCCAAAGATGGTGAGAGTACTGCAAAGGGATGAAGAAGTGAAGAAGCCCATGTGCATAAAAATCCAGGTCCCCACGGTGCAGAGATGTGGGTGAGGAAGGATGGAGCTGCCGACCGTGCGTGCTCCAGCTTGTGAGACAAGGTCACAAGGAAAACTGTGTCGATTCCCAAGGTTGAAAAAGTGGCTACCAAAATGAAAAGGCTGGTCTTCAGGGATGGAGCTGCTTCCTGTGGAACAAATAAAAGCCTTGACTTTAGGGGTTGGGGGATTTGCAAAGGCTCCCAAATAACATCGGCAGAAAATGTGTGGGAGGAGCATGGATGTGTAGGCGAGAGGATCATGGGCAATTTCCCAGGTGGGAGCAGTTCTTTCCAGGTTTCTTAATTCTACCTGCAGCCTCGTCCTCCCGGACCCCTTCCCCTTAGCTCCCCAGTTTCCTCCACTCCTGCTTCTGCTTGTTGCGGGAAACCTTGTTTTTCTCCATCCATCCTGTCCTGCTGCTCACACTGCTCTAGGGCCCTCACACGCCATCTGCCCTCACCAACACTTTCAAACTCAAGGAGAGGAGAGGTGGCTCTGTGGTTTTCAAGGGCTGAGGTTTATGGGTGCTCGTTAGTATTAACTGAGCAGTTGCCAGTTGGCCTCAGGGTAGGAGGCATGAAGGTAGAGCCTGCCCTTGTGTCTAACCATGCAACAGCTCAATGAAGTCCAAAATGTATCTGAGGGATGTCTCCATGGTGTCATGTATGAGGCAGAAGTGACCCCAGAGATCCAAACACGGTGGAATATATGATTTGTGACACCCTCCATTCCAGCCTGGCAAGGCCCAAGAGCTCATGACTTTTTGTTAGTGACAGGGTTGCTTCATTCTCAAAATAATCTACCTACTTCCAGACCAGCCTGTTCTGGTCACTTATGACCTGATTCCAACCCAAACTGGAAGAAAACAACCTATAATACTTGCTGGAGGGAAAAGGTTTTTTTTTTCTCCCTTCCCCGCCCTTCCTTAAAATCCTGTCTAGGCTAAAGAGCCACAGGCAAGGTCCACTGTTTGTTCTTTGTGGTCTTACTGTATTTCTGCTTTATTTCAGTGAGTTTAAACAGACCAGCACTGTACACGGTAGCTGCCATTCATTAGTTACTAACTGGATTCTCCCAGGGAGGTAACTGTATCAATAGACACCCTATGAAAAAGTTAGATGCTAGTTCTGAGGGTGTGGTGGAAGCCCTGGGCAGAGATGGGTGAAGGGGGATGCTTGTAAACAATTATGAAGCAGGGGAAATAGCTTGGGAGTGGGAGTGCTGCTTTCTGCATAAGCACAAAGACATGGATTGAGACCCCAGCACCCTGATGTAAAGTCGGGCATAATCACAGGCACCCAGAACCCCAGCCATGAGGCAAACAGAGACAGGAGGATGGCTGGGGATCACTGGCCACCAGCCTAGCTCCAGCCTTAGCAAAAGACCAGAGAGGAACAAACCAGAGAGACCGATAAAGCAGGGTACCCAGTGTCCCCCTTCAGCCTGTGTGTGTGTGTTCACAGATACATGTACACACACCACGTTCACACAAAGTACAAATTCTTCTTGAATGACTTTTTAAAGTTTTATTTGTGTGCATATATGTGTGCTGTAAGTGTGTGGAGTGCCTGAAGCGGACAAGAGATGTTTGGGAGCCCCTGGAGCTGGAGTAACAAATAGTTGTGAGCCCACCTGGTGTGTGTGCTGGGAACTCCTTCTCAAGAGTGGTATGTCTCTCCCAGCACTCGGGAGGCAGAGGCAGGCGGATCACTGTGAGTTCGAGGCCAGCCTGGTCTACAAGAGCTAGTTCCAAGACAGCCTCCAAAGCCACAGGGAAACCCTGTCTCGAAAAACAAAAAAACAAAAAAAACAAAAAAAAAAAAAGAGTGGTATGTCTCTTAACTGCCCAGTCATCTCTCCAGTCCCTAATGGCACATTCTTAAAGAGCTTGTTGACAGGTTGTAACCAATGGAAACCGTGGTAATAAGGAAACAGACTGGAATCTTCTAGGAAAACTCTGGATATTTATAGGTGTTTATTATCACAGACACAATCTACTTTGGCCAAACTGAAGTTGTTACAAAGCTGATATTTACCCTGAAAGGGCAACACGAGACTTTATAATTACTTAGATCTTCTGTGGCTGGACGCTGTCAGAGGTACAGTGAGTGCCTACCAAGTCTAAGATCAGGGGCTCCATCTCCAGTATCACTCAAAAAAGAATTAGAGGACTGGAGAGATGGCTCAACGACTAAGAGCACTGGCTGCTTTTCCAGAGGCCCTGAGTTCAATTCCCAGCAACCTTATGTTGGTTCACAGCCATCCATAATGAGCTCTGGCGCTCTCTTCTGGCCTGCAGATAAGCATTCAGGCAGAACACTGTATGCACAATAAATAAATAAATATTTTTAAAAGAATTAGAATATCTTCCCTTTTATAAGGGACTTGGTTTTGTACAGCTGCTCTTCCAGTTCAGAATCTAGACTGACATCACTGGCTTAGAAAGATAAGTTTGCTACAAGCAGCTCTTCCAGGTTTCTGTTTCTGGAACCAAAGCTCCTTTTAGAATAATGTTGCAAAATGTTAAAAGGCCCTTGTACCAAGCCTTCTGTTAGGTGGCAAGGAATAAATGCCTGTCAAGCCCCCTGTGTTCAGACTTCTGGACAGGCATGTTCCAACTGTGTGTGCTACCTACCAGGAGCCATGTGGGAGTTTTGGGACGGGAAACCTAACTCTGCCGACACTTGCCATTGGGCCCTGCTAACCTTGGATGCTGCTGCACAGTCCATAGACCCCTTGCTAAGTCTAATGGGCACTTGTCAATCCTCGCCTCCTCTCTCTACTGCCAGCGTTTGACCTCACCATTGCCTGGCTATTGTTCCTACCTTAATGTTCTCACACATTCTTGCCCCTCCGGGGTTTGACTGATGAAGTTCTGCTCTTTACTGCCCTCCTATGCATTCCTTGTTTTCTGGATAACAGTGAAACACACAGCAGCTAGGATGATCCCTGAATAGCTTCTATTCCTAGTAACACCACAGGACCACTGGTCTCTACACCCATGGCATCTGCCTCCAAGGATTCAACCGACCGCAGGGGGAAAAATAGGTGATTGATTAATTGATGATTGATTGATTGATTGATTGATTTTTGTTTGGAGAGGAGGTTGGTTGGTTGCTTTTCTTGATGTTAAGACTATAGATTTCCCTATGTAGCCCAGGCTGGTCTCTAACTTGTGATCTGCCTGCTTCTGCCTCTTCAGGTACTGAGACGCAGTCATTTTATACTACCTGCAGATATGAACCACCTGAGGGTATAGGCGCAGGTGCTCACCCCCTGAGGGTGCAGATATGTGCCACTATCTCTAGCTCTTTTTCAATTGCACCTGTGCACACTTGGTCTTTTCCCTCCCCGCTCCGTTATAGAGAAAAGCAGCTATTGACATTGTGTTTGGTATATGTGAAGGTTCCTACAAGCACTACATCTTTTATACGGGGCTGGAGCATCTGTGGAGTTGGGGATGTTGGGGCTCCTGAAACCTACCCCCGAGGATACTGAGAGACAACTGTCTTTCTCTCCAAGACCTATTTCCAGGGCCTTCCCCAGCACTTTCAGGATAAATATCAGCCTGTGGGAGGCATTCAAAGAAAAATTTTATAGATTTGGGGGGTTTCACATGGAATGGCAGGCAAGGGCAGTGGTGCAGGTGGTAAAAGAATGTACCAAAGGTACAAAGGACAGGAGGGACTGATTGAAATACACTACAAATAAGCTGCAGGTCAACTCCCAGGTGTCTGAGAGGGAATAGACGTCTGTCATAGTAGTTATGGGGAAGTTACTTAGTGGTCAGTGGGCCCTTTATATGGGGTCCGAATCTGGTGGACATTTCCTTATCTTGTAAAGCAATAAATTTTACAACATGCATTTTATTTCCCCTTGAGACTAGTCTTATTCAGGTGCATTGGATCATGAGAAAAAGGCTCCTG